CCCACAGAGGGTGTCGTGGGCTTGGCACGTGCCCACAGAGGGTGTCGTGGGCTCAGCACGTGCCCACAGAGGGTGTCGTGGGCTTGGCACGTGCCCACAGAGGGTGTCGTGGGCTCAGTACCCACAGAGGGTGTCGTGGGCTCAGTACCCACAGAGGGTGTCGTGGGCTTGGCGCGTGCCTACAGAGGGTATCGTGGGCTTACCACGTACCCACAGAGGGTGTCGTGGGCTCGGTACGTGCCCACAGAGGGTAGTGCTAGATGCAGTTGGTGGTGGGCTGGGATGCCCTGCACATGCCCACCGAGGACCACGGCTCCCCTTTAGAGCACTGCTGGGGGGCTCATCCAGGGGCGGAGGAAGGGCAGGCTTCGTGAAGATGGGCACCGGGGATCCCCCGGCACCCCCAGACCGCACACGGACCCCAGCCGCCTCCTCCCTCCCCAGAACTCCTCCCAGGCCTCACACGGGCCCCGGCTTGTCTCCGGCCTCCCAGGCCACCTCCCCGGCTACACGCAGACCCTGGCCTGCCTGCCCCCTCCCCAGGCCACCGCTATCTTCATGATTTCTCTGCTCCCCCGCCACCCCATTCCAGGAGCCTTCTGTCTATTGACAGTCCAGGTCTCTAAAGCTGCTGACCAAAAGTTCACTGTGGGGCTGCTCCCAAAACGACACTCCACACCCTGAAGGAACTGGAAATGCCACCAGGAAATGACAGATGGGGGCAGATAGTGAGAAACGCCTGCCTTAGACAGCACCCTTCGGACATTGTTGACTCCTCGCTCTGTCGGTGTTGGCTACCAAGGAGCCTGTGTGCAGCAACGGCTGGACGCAAAGCCAGGGCAGAGTCTGTGCTGTGTCTCCAATGCAGTCACGACTCCTGTGTTCTTTCCTCATGGGTGGAGGAGGACCCTCAGTTGCTGGCGTAATCTGTAAATATGCAATAGGGTCCATGCAGAGTCAATGGCACCAAAGAAACTAAATGAACCCCCGTGTCCCTCGAGGGGAAATGTTAGAACCTAGCTAACCATGCAGCCGTTGCTGTGTCAGCGAAGCGCAGACGCACCTTCTTCTGAGGGAGACCGGGAGCTGGTGCACATGCCCTTCAACTTCCTTTTCCTGCTCGTTTTTAGCCAACAACTCCGGTGTGAACAAACGCCAGATAACAGACCTCGTCGACCAGAGCATACAGATCAACGCCCACTGCTTTGTGGTGACAGCAGACAACCGCTACATCCTGATCTGTGGGTTCTGGGACAAGAGCTTCCGAGTTTACTCCACAGAGACAGGTAAGCTGACCACAAAAGACACGTTCTCTGGAAGTGACTGTGCCCACTGCCGTGCAGTCCATTCTGACCCACAGCGCCCCTAGAGGACAGAGTGGAACTGCCCCCAGGGTCTCCCAGGCTGTCAGTCTTCACAGAAGCAGAGCCCAAACCACACCCACTGCCGTGGAGTCCATTCTGACCCACAGCGCCCCTAGAGGACAGAGTGGAACTGCACCACTGAGTTTCCAAGGCTGTCAGTCTTTATGGGAGCAAAGCCCAAACCACACCCACTGCCCTGGAGTCCATTCTGACCCACAGCACCCCTAGAGGACAGAGTGGAACTGCACCACAGGGTCTTCAAGGCTGTCAGTCTTCACAGAAGCAAAGCCCAAACCACACCCAGTGCCTGGAGTCCATTCTGACCCACAGCGCCCCTAGAGGGACAGAGTGGAACTGCCCACAGGGTCTCCAAGGCTGTCAGTCTTCACAGAAGCAAAGCCCAAACCACACCCACTGCCATGGAGTCTATTCTGACCCACAGTGCCCCTAGAGGACAGAGTGGAACTGCCCACAGGGTCTCCAAGGCTGTCAGTCTTCACAGAAGCAAAGCCC